CTGCTTGCAGGGTATATACATTGAGATTGTGTGAATAATCTCTCCTTATTTTAGAAAAGTATTACTTATTTAGAGGACAGTCCACTTAATAGCATTCTCCCCCTCGTTCACTTGACAAGCTTTCAGTTTAAATTCTCTCGTATATATACCTTGCATAAAAAACATTGCTATTACGTGCACAGCAACTGTGTGGGGCGTAGCATCTTCTTAAGTTAGAGCCGTAATATGGCCATATCCCGTCCCATGCCCAGAGCGAAGCACGTGGCCATACCTAATTTCTGGTATGTTATATATGCCATCCACCCAGAGACGGTCATGGGCCGCCCACCTGTACCCCATCTTGTTGCTGTCTGCCGATCTTGCTCTCCCTTCAACTTTCTTATGGCAGACAGATTTTCAAACTGAAATCCATCCTGTTTGAAGTGAAAATTACAAGGGGAAAACGGCTATTATTTGTAAACCACTAGCAACTATCACGGTACAAGGATATCTGCATAACGCAGATTAATCCCAATTAGCTCAAAATAGATCCACTCCCTCTTTCAACTCTTATGCTTTCGACCGACCCACTTCCTTCTCATTATCTTTATAGCTTTAAAAACACTATACAAAATTTTTTGTCCGCATATACTGTTAATACTCTTATATTCCCTCAAAATGTTTAATCTTATAATTCAGTTTCCAAAACTTTTCTACAATTTTCACCAGATGGTCCACATTCTCGTTTTCTTTTTTTCCTTTTGCCGCAGACCACTCCACTTCCCAGCGCATTTACTTATTATTCTCACGTACTTCCTGAAATATTATTTTTTTCCTAGTTTTATCCTCTAAAACCTCTCTTTCTTCATCTAAGAACTCCCTCGTCGCATCTCTCCTCATCCTCAACCCGGTTCAAGTATCCCTATTTAACTATCCCTCAAAGCTTCATCAATCAACCATTCAACCCTCCTTGGCAAAACAACCTTCTAGATATCGGCTATTCTCAACCCACAAGCCTTATCCCTGTGCTGGCAGTCACGACAGACCAAGATTACAAGCCCACCACGAGTGTTGAAGGGAACACCAATCCCCGCTGTTCACATATTTGTGAGCCAAAACCATGCGCTTTAAAGTTTCCCAAGCATCATCCACGCCACAATTTGTTAAAATTGCAACCGTTAAAAGTTTTTAGTACTTTCAAACCTAAAACTTTTAGCTACACCTCCACTTTCAACTGCAACGGAAACCAATAAGTTTCCGGTCCTGAACCTTGTTAAGTTTGCAGACTTTGGTCTAGGACGTCCCTAGCTGGATCCAAACGCACTCGACACACACAGAGGTCCGGGAGTCGAATCTCCTCCGGTAGACTGGCTGAAAAACATTATGGACGTGTTTTCCATAAGACACCAGCTGTCCCTGTTTACCCTCATAAAATGGTACCCTGGGAGTTAGTTTGACTGGAGTGGTTCGCATCCTGACAAAAATTGGAACCTAATTTACTTTAAATGCTCATCTGCATAAGCGGCTTTCTACATAGTAGTAAGTCACTGATGGTCAGCTATGGCCTGTATACAGTGTCATGTACATGTAAAAATAAAGACACTATAATAAATGTGGGGCTGGGAATTTTTCAAGCCCTTAAGGTCTTGCCATTATATTTGACGAGGCACATATTATGATACAGTTTAGTAGCACGGCAAGGTTACAAGACTGGCAACAATTTTCAGGACCACGTGCACTGTAAACAAACAAGGTTCAAGAAACATTACAACGTAAGCATATGGCTAATATATAGCTTTATCAGACAGAGCAACAAAATCCTAGCACACATGCAAACTTGCATACAGGTTATTTATTCCTTTTTTTTTCTTTTTTTTAAATATTTCCACAATAAGCAGGTCTAAAAAATATTGAAATAAAAAATTGCAACTGCTTCCCCCTATGTGAGCTAACTTGGTAAACAGATCTACTAAGAATTAGTGATGTTCATCATGCAACACTGCTCTTTACAGTTAGAAAACACCTTCATAAATTTTTGAAACAAGTGGCAGTGGTTTACCAAAGATCAACTTAGTATATCGCTTATATACACATACCGCCGCAACAAAATAATTGGAGGACAACTATTTATAACTAGGATACTCGACAATTTCCAAGTCCGGTTAATAAAATCACTAAGTAAATAAAAGCAAGTGTTACATAATACACAAGCAATATCACAACACTACTGAAAAATACGCGGCGAAAACGAGAGCCGACATGAACTAGGATTAAAATTAATCATGGCAGTAGTATATTAATCATGCCTTAATGACGAATTTGTTAAGATGCCTTACGATTGTGTTATAGATGCCTGTGGCGACATGCACAATTTCCGAGGACAATTGCCCTATATTATGTCACTGGGAAGCTGTAAACCTGCAGGGACACACAACGCCTAACAGTAGCCGATAACCTTTGGCTATCTTTTTTTTCAATGTACTAGTCCGATTATTTTATACCAGAAGAATATAACTTATTAATTGTCCACAGTAGCCAAGCCCATCTCTTCTCTCATTAAACTGACTTCCTGGCCGTTGCTCTACACACCCCTGCGCCTCACTTAACTCTTCTTCCCCCTCGATCCCTAACAACCCTTGGTCTCACGAAGGTTTGACGGACGAGTAAACGAGGCAATTATCGTTTTCTAAAGATTGTTTGATAAGTCTTAACCAGGGGAATTAACCTGTCGTTTAGTTGGGTTGAAGGGTGCGATCAACCTTTAGCAAGAAAAACAGCTGTGAATTGTATTGCAGCGCTGTATAGCCTTTGTGGTTTAGCGCTTCTTTTTTAATAATGTGAATTGTATTGGTACTACTCGGTGGAGATGGCGTTTAAATGACCAAGGTTAAAAATAATCAAGAACAAAACTTTTAATGAAAACTTCTGCACAACAGGCGCTCTCAAGTCAGTGACCTAAAATAAAATAGAACAGAGGAAACCTCATCTCAGTTCTCTGTATTTCAACTACTTGTGGCTACTCCGTTAATAACCTCTTAAGATCGTTTGCCAGAATTTTATTAGTAAAGTGGATTAACTGTTTTCCTTGTAGGTTACTCAAGACTGTTTAATTTAGACAGTAATGTAAGTAAGAACTCTTTCCCATAAGGTGGTAAGAGGAACGCTTAACTGCATGAAATGGTAGAGGCCAACATTATACACAGCTTCAAGAGTAAGTATGATTGAAACCTACTGACCAGCAATCTTCTACGTAGAATCTGTCGATGAGAGCTGAGAGGTCGGCTGCCAAGGGATGGGAATAACCCTTACAGGCACAACTAGATAAGTACAAGATTGCTAGTAAAGGACTATCATACCATACCAACCTTGCTCTGCAATTTTAAGTCTACATGAATTGCAACATTTGGTGTCATAAGGTGTAATACGTGATAATGAAACTGCAGAAGGGTTGCATGACTGATACTTGACCTTTATTGCAGTAACCTTGCGTGAGGTCATGTCAGTGATAGACAAGGCGAGGTAGTAGCAAACACTGCGAAGATGGTGGCAAAAAAGAGGCGAAGTTTAAACAGTGTTCCTCCTGTGTGCATGTTATTGCGTATGTGTAGTACTGTGAACGTCTAATAGTGTCGGCATGTCTGAGTTTGTTTTAATGCTTCCCCCCCCCCCCCGGAGAGTTTTCTGCTTTTGTGGGCATGTTTTCTTGCATGTCCACCAAGTGTTTTAAAGTAAAGAACATGATTGCGACTGGCCAGGGATCGAACCCAGGACTCTCGCCAGCCTCCGGAGAAGCAGAGGAGACATCCTGGGCTGGACTAACTCTGGCAGTGACATGTAATGAGGCCCAGTGCTGTACCACCGAACTACGAGACTTACAAATGTGACTAACAGATGCTTGAAACACTAAACCAACATTGGGTGCTGTAAATATCTGTAGAAAAGCAAGCAAGCACATAAAAAGCGCATAGCTCCGTGTGACAACAACTGTCCTGGATATGTGGGTCATGTGGGAAGACTTACCACATGAGTCAGACCAACACTTACATGGCTAGGAGTTACATCAAGTCTTCTTCTCTACTGCCGTACCATTGAGCAACTTGCTATTGCTAAGCTCTGGCGGTACAATTTATGCATAACGTAGAACACAAATAGGGTGTCTCTAAGCCTACTGGCCCACAATAGGCAGGTCATAGAGTATGAAACTTTAATAATGACTCGAGAGAAAAATTGTCGCCTCTTAAAAAGGTGCGTGAACGAATATAAATATTAGCTTCATAACGTTCCTAAAATGTTACGGTTAGAAAATTTCACACGAGTAAAAACGCAATGGTGTTCCTTAACCATTAATGTACAGCTCTAGTGGAGAATGAGGTCATGAATGAAGCTAGAATCATGCAATTCTCTCCAAAACTTCCATCAAAACATCAGTGGGAGGATCAAAAGAAATGTGTTTCACAAAGGGCAATATACCATGCAGAAGCATTTACAACAGGAGTAATATATGTAACGTATAAAGTGCAGCAAAGATACAAAAAGATGTTAGAGGTGAGAGCATGACAGCTCCTCCCACCAACACTCGAGTTCAACCTCACACAACTTCACCTATCCTCTTTTATCTTTTGCTATTAAATATTGACTTTTAAATGAACTTAAAACTATACTTTTTATTATTATAGTCACAGACTTCTTGGTTACTTGCAAAAAACTGATAAAATATAATACTTGACAATATTAAAAACAACTCTTGATTGGACTGTGAGATATAAGAAATAAATACGTAATCAGGTACATGAAAAGTTCCTAGACTCGACAAACCAAATTCCTAAGTATTTAACAGCAAACATTGCAATACAGGAGCTTCAAACTCTAAATCATAAATTCATGACATCAATGCAGTTGCGTGCATTGTACCTTAAAAATCACTAAAACTAAACCATTCCTAAAAGGCAATGGTTTAACATAAGATTCTGCTTTGGCTTATAGTTTATATCATCACTCGCATACAAGATGTTATAGCTCACCATCATGTCGTTATGTCGAAGGTTCGTAAAGATTAAAACAAAATGTCCCTGAGGTACAGTAGTGGTGTAGCAGTACTCACGACAGCTGTCACCATCACACTGATGTTCAGAATTAACTTCACCAGCTCGTGGCTCCTAACACTGCCAGGTTTTTACCGCTGGACAAAATATTCCTCCTGCCTCTGTTTCCACACTTTGTGTCTATGTCTCAAGTAAAACTTACTGTGTGTGTTCTATCCACAGTATTAACGTGTAATATAAATATTTTTTATGAATAAAGTTACGAAAATTGCAGAAAATAACTTCAGTGGATATGGCCGAGGGTCAGTTGCCATGTAGAGAGTATTTGTAAGTGGTAAGATCATGGCAGCAAAAATTACCTGCTTCTTACAAAACCTAATACAATTACTTCTCTCTTCTTCATCGCAATACAAACTCCCGCGGCAACTATATTTTTTTGACTTCCAGTAGTACTTTACCGATAATCTTACGATAAACAGTTATTATAGAGCGCGCAGAAGAGCGGCAGCGCACAGGATTCACCATATAACTTCCTCAAATACTAGAGCGATTTCACTTTTGCTTACTGTGAACCGGAGAGAAACCGCTGGTTCTAGACGTCCAGGAACCTCACCCACCTTACTAACACTGCCTTAACAGGCCTCTAGGTTCTACGTCTTATAATAAAATCTTCATTTTTCCCTATAGTCTGACTTGTCAATAATTACTAACACATTTGCTTTGTCTGTTTCGTTAGGTGAAGTCCAGGATCTTTCTTAATTCATGTACAATCTTATAAATGTTTGAGGATAATAGTGTTGTAAGGCGTGTGAGCAAAGCTGAGACCATCTACAACACATTGTCCCAAACATTTGTTATAGTTATACCATGATTTAAGTAAAGATCATGGACTTCTATCACCTTAAGAAACAGACCAAGCATATTTTGATAGTATATTATGGATCTGGTTTTCGTTTTAGTGGAAATATTAACAAGTGATTTTAGTTGGGGTGACCTTACTGGCCCTTAAAGGACGGTATTATATGTATGGTTCTGGTTATAGGGGTGTCGTAAGGTGCAGAGGGTGTTGGGAGGGAAGGACAAGTATCTCTGGGTTTGGTGTGGGTGAGAGGGTATAGTGGGTAGGTTGTGGTTGTGGGGGTGATGTGGGGTTTATCCAAAAACTTTTTGAATTCACACACAGGAATGCTTAATACAATTCCTTTCAACGTTTTTAACCACCTTATCGCCGAACGATAATATCACAGTGCACTAGCAGGAAAGCGCAATAATAGCACCCTGTGTGGCGTCCGCAGTGCTAAATAGACTACCTATAGGGAAAGAGTAGGGGTGACCTGACGGCAAGAGGAGGGACAGTGGTAAAATTAGCAAGGGAATAAATAATAAAATAAGGAAACAGCGGACATAAAATAACCCCCACCCCCCCCCCCCCCCCCCCCCCCCTGAAAAAAAACATGTGGAAGGGTAGACATAAATATGAGCAGGAAATAACAAGGAAGTAAACAAAAGATGGAGATAGAGAAAGCAATAAACAAATGTGGGAAAAGAAAATAGACAGGTGGGAAAGGAAAAGGACAAAAAATAAGGACGAGTCATAGATCGGGAAGCTACAATGAACAGAATATGAAGAAGCAAAGTGAGAAATGTAAGACGAAACCATAAGGTAGAGGAATAGGCTAGTTAAAAAAAAGAGTAAAGAGAAGAGCTGAGAGGGAAATATATTTTATAAGTTGTTAGGGAGTGTATGAGGACCGTGGAAAGAGAATGATTAGGGAAAAACAAACAAACCATTTTTTTCTAGCCAAAATGGATGCATCAAAAATGTGTTAATTACTCTATTCCATATGACTAGATATACTGTGTGAGCAAAAAGCTAGCTATACTCCTCGTCATAAACCATCACACTGATGGCGAGACTTCAGTAGACAATGAAGGTTTTTTACAATACACGCCCGCCTCAACACCAAGAGAGAGGTTCAACACCTACGGAGCTTCAAAGGCATCTTCCAGCAGGAAGCTGGAGTTCTATCACCTGGTATTACCATCTCTTGGAACGTCCTATCCACCACAAAAAGATGAAATCTTGATAAAATATCTTCATCCACAGAGTGGAGCAACAAAAATTATGTATAGGAGTGAAAAGAAAAAGAAGGAAGAAAGCATGATTGCATTATATCCCGTAGCTCGGTTGCTAGCGCAATGACCTCACATACTGAAATCCATGGTTCGATCCAGTTCTGCTGTAACCTGTTAACCTAGCAGTATAAAGGTACCTGAGTGTTAGCCGACTGGTGTAGGTCGCATCCTGGGGACAAAGCCTAATTTGCCCGAAATACTCTGGATAACCAGTGTCTTTCTATGTAGTATGTCATTGATGGTCAGCCTATGGTCTGTATAAAGATGTAGATCATTGTTGACAAAATAACCTTCACCGTTTTAAAACTAACATTAATGGGTAAGATTTAGGGGAAAAGGGAAGGGAGCTAGGGATGTTAGGGTAAGGGGTCTGGATAAGTTGGATAAGAGGTGAGGGAAGATTTACATGATCTGACAAGGAAGCTAGAGATGTGGGGGCGGAAGAGGTTAAGGTGAGAGGATGTTGAGGGTTAGGGGGGAAAGGGACGAGGGGGAGGGGGGGGGGTGGGGGAAAGGGTGGAAAAAGGGTGAGGGTAATGGGGTGAGAATGGACGGGAAAAAAAAACTGTAAGGTGAAAAGGGAAAAAGAGACAAACACCAGTCGCTGTGTGACCCCAGCGTCGTTGTGATCCAACGTCGCTGTGTGACCCAACGTCGATGTGTGACCAGCGTCCGTTGTGATCCTACGTCGCTGTGTGACCCAACGTCGCTGTGTGACCCAAATCGTCGCTGTGTGACCAACGTCCGCTGTGACCCTACGTCGCTGTTGTGATCAAAGTCGCTGTGTGACCCCACGTCGCTGTTGAACCCAACGTCGCTGTGTGACCCAACGTCGCTGTGACCCTACGTCGCGTGTGACTCAAAGTCGCTGTAATGACCCAACTTCGCTGTGTGATCAACGTCGATGTCTGTGACCCAACGTCGCTGGTGAACCAACGTCGCTGTGACCCAACGATCGCTGTGCTGACCTCAACGTCGCCCACTGTGTGACCCCCACGTCGCTGTGTGATCAACGTCGCTGTGTGACCCAAGTCTCTGTGACCCAACGATCGCTGTGTGACTAAACGTCGCTGTTTGACCCAAGGTCGGTGTTGACTCAACGTCGGCTGTGTGACCCAACGTCGTGTGTGACCCCAATGTCGCTGTGTGGACCCAACGTCGCTGTGTGACCAACGTCGCTGTGTGGACTCAACGTCGATTGTCTGTGACCCAACGTCGCTGTGTGCCAACGTCGCTGTGTGACCCAACGTAGCTGTGTGATCCAAAGTCGCTGGACCCAACGTAGCTGTGTGACCCAACGTCGCTGTGTGACCCCACATAGCTGTGTGCCCCCACGTCGGTGTGTGACCCCACGTCGTCTAGATGTGACCCCACGTCGCTGATGTTGCCCCCACGTCGCTGTGTGACCCACGTCGCTGTGGACCCCACGTCGTGTAGTGACCCCACGTCGCTGTGTGACCCACTCGCAAGTGTGACCCCACGTCGCTGTGTGTGACCCCCGTCGCTGTGTGGCCCCCACGTCGCTGTGTGCCCCCACGTGCTGTGTGACCCCACGTCGCTGTGTGACCCCAAGTTCGCTGTGTGACCCCACGATGCTCAGTGGTCTCAAGGAATATAATAATAATAATAATCTAATGATTATTTATAATAATAATAATAATTAATCTCTTTATTACTTCAAGTCACATGATACTAACGTATACAGACCTAAATTTCAATTTCGCTTGTTTTGTAACGATAAAATGTTTCCATGTAAATAACTTGAGAATGACCTCTTCTGACTGGCCTTCAAACCTTAAATGCAGGGTTTATGATATATGGAAGTATTTTTGTACTGTTTTGGGCTGTGTGGGTGCCAATTTGCCGTTTTTTTTTTTAAAGAAAATTTGGCAAATGGCATTTTTCTTTATTATATAATATTTTTCTTATAGGGTTGTAGAGAATTTAATTATAGGGGCATAAAAGAGAATATTCAAAACTGAAGAAAATTGCCTTTTTAATTTTAATGAGGATAGACTAATTTTTTAGGATATTGGTTTCTCTGAGATAAACTAGAGTATGCTCTCTTCAGTTTAGCTTCAAAGGGTGTTTCTTAATTTAGATGTGAATTTAGAATTTGCGCTTTGTCCTAATTTTCCATTTTTATAGATGAATTGGGATACTTAATTTCTACATAGTATTGTGATGCTTTTTCTGTTTTGATTCAATCGTTCCGGGGTTAGTATTTTACTGCATTAAAAACCTTATGCCACACTCTGAAAATATTCCAATAGTGTACAATGAGGTGCAGGGGGACGGGTTGTGCAATAAGGGGATACCTGTCTCGGATTATGAGATACGGGGACTAGGGTTAAGCAATACGGGGATACCTGTCTGCGATTATAGAATACGGGGGACTAGGGTTAAGCAATACGGGATACTGTCTCGGATCTAGTAGAGATACGGGGGACTAGGGGGTAAGCAATAAGGGGTACCTGTCTCGGGATTACTAGAGATACGGGGACTAGGGTTAGCAAATACGGGGATAACTGTCTCGGATTATAGAGAATACGGCGGGACTAGGGTTAAAGCAATTCGGGGATACCTTCATGTCTCGGATTTTAGAGATACGGGGGACTTTGGGTTCAAGCGATAAGGGGATACCTGTCTCGGATTATAGAGATACGGGGGACTAGGGTTAAGCCAAATACGGGGATAACCTGTCTCGGATTATAGAGGATACGGGGGACTAGGGGTTATGCAATACGGGGGTACCTGTCTCGGATTATAGAGTAAGGGGGACTAGGGTTTTTAAGCAATAGGGGATACCTGTCTCGGATTATAGAGATACGGGGGACTAGGGTTAAGCAATAGGGGATTACCTGTCTCGGATTATAGAGATGGGGGACTAGGGTTAAGCAATTACGGGGGATACCTGTTCGGATTATAGAGATACGGGGGA